CCGCTTCGGCACCTGACGCTCAGGCCGCGAAGGCGACCGGCTCGGGCTCGCTGCGCGGCAGGCTGGCCCAGCGGCTCGCCGGTCAGCTCGTACAGCAAGGGCAGCGGCGCTGCCGGGGCCGTCGGACAGCGTGCCCTTCATGCGCAGACCCAGGCCGTCCAGCGTCTTGCGGGTGGGCACGTTGTTCGGGAACACCGCAGCCACGACCGCCGCCTCGCCATGGGTCTCGAACGCCTGGCTGATCGCGAACTGGGACATCTCGCAGGCCAGCCCGCGGCCCCACGCCTGGGGCGTGATGCGGTAGTACAGGAAGAGGCCCGCATGGCCGGCGACCCTGCGGTGCATGAGCCCGCCGAAGCCGATCAGGCGCTCGGGTTGGTCGCGCTCCGCGATCGCCCAGTGGCCGAAGCCGCGAGCCTGCCAGTGGTCGATCCAGCCTTGCAGCTGCGCCTCGACAGCCGGGCGGCCCTGCGGCGTGGCGGCCGCGCAGAACCGGTTCACGGCCGGGTCGGCGTGCAGGGCCAGGAGCGTATCCAGATCGTTGTCCCGCGGGGGCCGCAGGACCAGGCGGCGAGTGACCAGGGCAGCCGGTACGGCGGCGGCGGACTCGCTGAACTCAGACGGGACCATGAAAAGCGGAACTCGGTGGAAACCCTAGGAGGGTAGCGGCGAGCGGTCCGGGGCGAAAGCCCGGAAGCGCGGGTGTTGTCGCAAAACCGTCACAAAGCCACGGCGGGGTGGGGCCATGGCTTGAATCGGCACCCGCTTCCTCCCCCTATGTCAACGCATCGAATCGCCTGGAAACTGGGTTTAAATACAGCATCTCACCCACCCACCCACCCACCCACCCACCCACCCACCCACGGACGGATGCCATGCCCACCGCCATCACCGCCTGCCGCCTCGTTGCGGCCCTGATCCTGGCGACCAGCGCAGGGTTCGCCGCCGCTACGGAGAAGCCCATGCCTGCCCAAACCGTCACCGGACCCTTCGACGTCAAGCTCAGCCCCGAGCCCGCCAGCGCGGCCGCGGAGATCGCCGGCATCGGCCGCATGTCGCTGGACAAGACCTTCCATGGCCCGCTGCAGGGCACGAGCCGCGGCGAGATGATCGCGTTCCGCAGCGCCACGCCCGGCTCGGCGGGCTACGTGGCGATGGAAACCGTGCGGGGCACGCTCGACGGCCGCGAGGGCAGCTTCGTGCTGCAGCA